ATGGACATCCCCGGCGAGGCCACTCCTCCCCCGGCCACCACCACCGGCACCGGCACCGGCACCACCGGCACCGCCAAGAAGCCGTTTGAGTGCGCGGTGTGCGGCAAGGCCTTCGCTCGCCTCCCGCACCTGCGCGTCCACCGGCGGACGCACACGGGGGAGCGCCCCTTCGCGTGCCCCCAGTGCCCCCGCGCCTTCGCCCAGTCGGGCCAGCTGCTCAACCACCGGCGGACGCACACGGGGGAGCGCCCCTTCGGCTGCGGCGTCTGCGGCAAGGCCTTCGCCGAGCTCGGCCACCTGCAGCGGCACGGCAAGATCCACACGGGCGAGCGGCCCTTCGTGTGCACGGTGTGCGGCAAGGAGTTCATCCAGTGCGGCCAGCTGAGGGCGCACGGGCGGACGCACACGGGCGAGCGGCCCTTCGGCTGCGGCGTCTGCGGCAAGGCCTTCGCGCAGTCCGGGCAGCTCCGGATCCACGGGCGGACCCACACGGGGGAGGAGCCCTTCGCGTGCGCGCTGTGCGGCCGGACGTTCTCGCAGTCGGGGCACCTGCGGAGGCACCAGAAGACTCACGGAGGAGGAGGAGGAGGAGGAGGAGGAGGAGGAGGAGGAGGCGGAGGAGGAGGAGGAGGAGGAGGAGGAGGAGGCGGAGTTGTTGCCGGAGGAGGGGCCGGAGGAGGGGCCGAGGGCGGTTCGGCGAAAGCGGTGAAGGGGCGGCGGGGAGGTCGCCGGTCTCGCCCGGCCGCCGGACGGGAGGGCGATGGAGCTGCCACACAGGGCGGTGATGGAGCTGCCACACAGGGCGGTGATGGAGCTACCACACAGGGCGGTGATGGAGCTACCACACAGGGCAGTGATGGAGCTACCACACAGGGTGGCAAGGGAGCTACCACACAGGACAGTGATGGAGCTACCACACAGGGTGGCGATGGAGCTTCCACACAGGGTGGCAAGGGAGCTACCACACAGGAGGGCGATGGAGCTGCCACACAGGGCAGTGATGGAGCTACCACACAGGACAGTGATGGAGCTACCATACAGGGTGGCAAGGGAGCTACCACACAGGGTGGCAAGGGAACTACCACACAGGACAGTGATGGAGCTACCACACAGGACAGTGATGGAGCTACCACACAGGGTGGCAAGGGAGCTGCCACACAGGACAGTGATGGAGCTACCACACAGGGTGGCAAGGGAGCTACCACACAGGACAGTGATGGAGCTACCACACAGGGTGGCAAGGGAGCTACCACACAGGGTGGCAAGGGAGCTACCACACAGGGCAGTGATGGAGCTACCACACAGGGCAGTGATGGAGCTTCCACACAGGACAGTGATGGAGCTACCACACAGGGTGGCAAGGGAGCTACCACACAGGGCAGTGATGGAGCTACCACACAGGACAGTGATGGAGCTACCACACAGGAGGGCGAGGGAGCTGCCGGACGTTCCGATGGCCGACCGGAGAGCCGTCCGATGGAGACCGAAGACGGAGGAGACGGCGGTGGTGGCGGTGTTGTTGGGGGTGGTGGCGGTGTTGTTGGGGGTGGTGGCGGTGTTGTTGGGGGTGGTGGCGGTGTCGTTGGGGGTGGTGGCGGTGTCGTTGGGGGTGGTGGCGGTGTCGGTGGGGGTGGTGGCGGTGTTGTTGGGGGTGGTGGCGGTGTTGTTGGGGGTGGTGGCGGTGTTGTTGGGGGTGGTGGCGGTGTTGTTGGGGGTGGTGGCGGTGTTGTTGGGGGTGGTGGCGGTGATGGTGGTGGTGGTGGTGGAGGTGGTGGTGGCGGTGGTGGTGGTGGTGGAGGTGGCGGTGGTGGTGGTGGAAGTGGTGGTGGTGGTGGAGGTGGTTTCCCGTCGGCCGTGACGGTGATTTCGGCCGCCAAACGGAAATGTCACGGTAGCAGCAGCCCCCACCGGTCTCAGGCGCCGGTGAAGGTGAAGCGTGGAGGTGGAGTTGAGGGCCGAGTTGAGGGCGACTGAGTAAAACTTATTCACACACACACAGACACAACAACAACCGCCATTCGCCACTAAGTGGTGGTGACGTCACCACGACGCTTGTGCCAGGCTATGTGCACCCTGAGGCCACGTGAAGTGTCGAACGCCCGCTGGCAGGAGGTCACGGGGCAGACCCAGCAGGTGCCACGGGTCGACTGACTGAGATGACTGACTGATGCACCACCTGTGCCCCCTACTGTGCCAACTTGCTGTGCTTTAGCCACCCGGCGCTCCGCTCGTTGTTGTGAGCGTCGCTCCTCCGCCCTCCGTTATTGTTGGAGGGCGACTGCCTCCAACTTCCCAGTAGCACTTTCACGAGCCTCCTCCACAGAGGCCGATCTTTACACCGCTGGTACCAGTCATCGGCAAGTCCACTCAGCTCCACGTCCCCCTGTATCACATCACTCCATCTCTTCTCTAGCCCGTGCCGCGCCCGTTTAGCCCCCTCTATCCGGCTGAACAAAAGCTGTTTCGGCATGCGGTGGCTGGGCATGCGGGCTACATGACCCAGCCAACGCAGCCTTGCCTGCCGGAGGAGCTCACCGATGGGACTTTGCCCAGATCTTTCAAGGATTTGTGAGCTCCTCACACAATCCAGCCTGGTTAAACCAGGATTGATCGTAGGCAGTCCAGCCTAAATGTTTCTAACCGGCGAAGATGCTCCATTAGGGGGGTCCACGTCTCGCAAGCGTAGAGAAAGGAGGGAATGACCGTGGCCGAGAAGACCTGAAGCTTCGTGCAGAGCGACAGACCAGGTAGCTTCCACACAGCGTTACGCAACTGATGAAAAGATATTACCGCTCGACTGATTCGGAGTGAGAGAGACCTCTGCTATTAAACCAGAGCTGGTTATGAGCACACTGCCCAGGTATGGGAAACTCTCCACTCTCTCCACAACTGCCACATCACTGATTGGGAGTTGTGTGGGTGGAGTGTCCGATGGTACAAAATACCCAGGCAGGTGCTTAGTTTTGGTGGGGCTGATGGTAAGGCCCCACCTCTTAGTGGCACGCTCCAGTTTCAGCAGCAGCGTCTCCAACTCCTCTGAATGAGCAGCAATTACCAAATCATCGGCATACATAACGTGGTTGAGCAATAGGGAGCCATCCCTTGACCGCACCCGGGCATCGATCAGCCTCCCATTGTATCTGTACCAAATGGAAATTCCCCCAGTACAGCTATTGAAGGCTTCACGAACTACGTGGTCAAAATAGATGTTAAATAATGTGGGAGCCAGATGACATCCCTGTCGCACCCCAAGGTATACAGGGAATGGCTCCCACTCCCGGCCACGTAGTTTTACCCGGGCCCGCTCACCATCATGAAGGTCCTTAATGATCGTGAGCAGAGGGTCAGGGACTCTGAAAGCATGAAGAACAACCCAGAGCCCAGGCCTTCTGATGGTATCATAGGCCTTGACCAGGTCAATAAAGCAGAGATGTAGGTCTTGCTGGAATTCCCTACACCTCTGCTGTAGCAGACGAGACAGAAAATATGGCATCGGTGCTGGACCACCCTTTCCTGAAACCACATTGGGGCTCCGCAAGCCTCTCCTCAGCGTGCCTGGCAAGGTGATGCTGAATAATCCTTGCCAGGACCTTTCCTGGCACACTGAGGAGTGAGATGCCCCTGTAGTTGTTACAGTCTGTGCGGTCCCCCTTCTTAAAGAGGGGGACCACCAGGGCATCCTTCCAATCCTGCGGAACCCGCCTAGTGGCCCAGACTGTTATGATGATATCATGTAGGGCAGTCTGTGCACAAACGCCACCCTCCCTCAGCATTTCGCTTGGGAGATCGTCTCTGCCCGGTGCCTTTCCTGGTCTCAGACTCTGGATCGCCTTCAGTACTTCCTCAACAGATGGCACCTCAGCCAGCCACTCACAGGGGGTGACTTCTTCCAATATTTGAGGCACCGCAGCCTCAGCAGGGTCATCCCCACTTTTCCTGGCTGAGGGATTTCCCCTCCCCCAGGACCTCACAGAAATGCTCAGCAAATCTGCAAACCTGTTCCTGGGTGTCGGAGATTGGATCACTGTTTTTTCCCCTAATGATGGTAATAGGTGTGGCGCTGCAGGTTACTTTTTTGATGGAGTTAAATAGAGATTTGTCATCGCGGGCCACTGAGGCAGACTCCATCTCCTCAGCAACCTGCGACCACCACCCATCCTTGCAGCGCCTCACGGCTCTCTGAACCTCCAAGCGAAGGCTGCGGTAAGCCTCCTCATTCTCTGACGTGGGATTCAGTAGCCGATGACAGTGGGCCTGTCGCTTTTTCTCAACCATCCTGAACACCTCCTCTGTCAGCCAGGGTCTCTGGGGAGGTCTGGACCGCGTACCCAAAGCAGCCATTGCCGCTGCCTGAGTCGGTCCTAAACCTCGCCCATTTACCCTCGACATTAGGAGTGGGGGACGATGCCAACCCCAGCCGCAAGCGATGATGAAATTCTCGCTTGCAACTTTCATAAGATCACTGAGACCAGGCCACTGTAGGTTGGAATGGGGTCCTGGGTGTACACCCACCACCGGAGTGGAAGAATGGCAGGCGCATCTTACAGATGACAAGTCGATGGTCAGAGGGCAGATCAGCTCCACGGTAGGTCCTGGTGTCAAGGACATGGGCTCGCATCCGCTGGTCTGTCACTATGTAGTCCAGCAGATGTTCTTGTTTGGACCCGGCGTTCATCCGTGATGTTGTGTGGATGCACCGATGCCGAAACAGCGTGTTGGTAATTACAAGCCCATGGGCTGTACAAAAATCTAGCAGCCTCCTACCGTTGTTATTGAGCTGATCCGGCCCATGCCCTCCAATCACTCCAGCCCAGGTGCCAGCATCATGATCAACTGGGGCATTGAAGTCACCCAACATGATGACTCTATCCCGAGGTGCCACTTTAGCCAGCACCTGTGACAGGAGGTGATAGAAGGCATCTGACTCATCGACCTTGCCTGCATCCCTCCACGGATGTTCGTCTTCGGTGGGGGCATAAGTAACTCCGACCACCACTCGCCTCCGGTTGATGGGAAGGTGAGCCCAAAGTAGCCTGGGGCTTACAGCTTCCCACACCTCACCGCCACGCTCCCACGCCCCCTTCATTATTATGTTCAGAAGAAGAGCCACTCCCTGTTGTTTGGCAGTCTCACACACGAGACACAAACACACAGACACAGACATACACATAGTAGTACTAGCAGTAGTATTAGTAGTAATGTTTGGCAGTTGTTGCGGTCTTAGTAGTTAGTTGTAGTTAGGAGTCGCGGGAGGCTTTCACGACCAATCTCATCCATCATAGCGGACTGTTTAGTTTGCCTTCTTTGGTTCTTTCGGTAAAGTCACGTGGAATGAGAATAAAATAATAAATTAATAAAATAAAATAACACGATAAAATTCTCGCGACGTTTCGGCCACAACACAAGCGGCCTTCATCAGGTGAAGGGACGAGACTGTCTGGAGGACAGCGCTGGAGCGAACACAGCCAAGCCCAGACCGCGACCTTTAAGCTGCGTGAGAAGAAACGGAGAGCCCTGACAAAGGAATTGGCATAGAATTTAGCACCCTTGCAGTCACGAAAGCTTTAAATCGAGATGTTTAGTTTGCGTTTGGCCGCTTGCCCTCCGAACGCGACCCACGCCGCCGATGAAGTCGATGCCCCCGCCGAAGGAGACCCGAAGCTTCGCGTGGAGCGACGGACCGGGTGGCTGAGGCACAGCGGCGTTATGCAGCCGATGAAAAGGCATCGCCGCTCGATCGATTCGGAGCGAGGCCTCCGCCGTGAAAGCGGAGCCGGTCGTGAGCACGCCGCCCAGGTAGTGGGGACACCGCACAGGTAGTGGGGAACTCGACCAGGTAGTGAGGAACTCGCACAGGTAGTGGGGAACTCGCACAGGTAGTGGGGAACTCGCCCAGGTAGTGGGGAACTCGCCCAGGTAGTGGGGAACTCGCCCAGGTAGTGAGGAACTCGCCCAGGTAGTGAGGAACTCGCCCAGGTAGTGGGGAACTCGCCCAGGTAGTGGGGAACTCGCCCAGGTAGTGAGGAACTCGCCCAGGTAGTGGGGAACTCGCCCAGGTAGTGGGGAACTCGCCCAGGTAGTGAGGAACTCGCCCAGGTAGTGGGGAACTCGCCCAGGTAGTGTGGACACCGCCCAGGTAGTGGGGAACTCGCCCAGGTAGTGGGGACACCGCACAGGTAGTGGGGAACTCGCCCAGGTAGTGGGGAACTCGCCCAGGTAGTGGGGAACTCGCCCAGGTAGTGAGGAACTCGCCCAGGTAGTGGGGAACTCGCCCAGGTAGTGGGGACACCGCACAGGTAGTGGGGAACTCGCCCAGGTAGTGGGGAACTCGCCCAGGTAGTGGGCACACCGCACAGGTAGTGGGGACACCGCCCAGGTAGTGGGGACACCGCCCAGGTAGTGGGGAACTCGCCCAGGTAGTGGGGAACTCGCCCAGGTAGTGGGGAACTCGCCCAGGTAGTGAGGAACTCGCCCAGGTAGTGGGGAACTCGCACAGGTAGTGAGGAACTCGCACAGGT